TTAACATGACAGCGGCAGGCCTAACATACGTATATAGTACTAATCTCCCTGGAACACATTTCTAAGGTGGACTGTCTGTAAAGATGATCTACAAAGAGGGGATTTGTGGCCTTTTGACTTTGAGATCTGATCATAGAATCATAGAATAATTGAGTTGGAAGGGCCTATAAGGCCATTGAGCCCATCCTCCTGCTCAATGCATGAATCCAAATCCAGATATGACAGAATCCAGATATGACAGAAAGTTGTCCAATTTTCTCTTGAATGCCTGCAGCATTGGAGCACTCATCAACTCCAAAGATAATTGGTTCCACTGTCATACTCCTCTAACAGTGGAGACATTTTTTCTTGATATTAATCCAAAACCTGGCTTCCTGTAGCTTCCTATAGTTCTCATGGTGGAGCAACCAATTCAGATTGTATGATAGAGCATTAATCATTGTCAGCATGGGGCCAATGAGTGGGATATAATTAGAAAAGGCTGTCAAACTGGAAAGTAACCATGGTTTCCCAATGGTCATATACCAGAAACGGTTGATTACTACCCTGTGTGGTTAGTTGTGTAACTCCAACTTTTCAGTGAAGAAACTTCCAAGCTGTCTTTACTTAGAGTGACTACATTGCATTTGTCCTGTTGTTTGGTCCACTGTGACCATGGGCTCATTTTTTCTTTTTGCTGGTGATCAAATGACATAAATGCCACCACAAAACAGCACATCCCCAGAGTGTTCCTACATGCACTTTCTGGTTTCCTACTCTTTTTAGAGTGCAGAGAAAAGGGCTCAATTTTGGTCAATTTCTAGTATGTCTGATCACTCAGATCAAACCAAAATGGAGCTTGCTTCTGTCAGTTTTCCATATGGTGTCCGTATCATTAAGTTTAGCCACTTAATTATATTAGAAAATTAAAAATGTCCTCTGCTCTTCTGTGGTGGGGCATAGGGAGGAAGATTTGGGGGAAAAAAGCATATTAGAGCAGTGCTGATGTGTTGCACCTTTTAGTAAAAAGTTGAAAGCTTCTTCCCAGAAGGAAAAGGAAACAGGAGGGAGCAAGGAGAGGGATTTTTTTTTCTGTTTCTTTGTTTTCTTTCATTTCTTAAGGGAGGCAAGCCAAATACGGTCACTTGAGGTGTGCATGCCATGAGATTACACCAAATTGGCTCCTCCTAAGCACAGAAAAGTTTAAGACAGCTTTCTCATACTTTGTTTGAACAGCATCTGCCCTGAGGTACGATGTGTTTAGTTTCACTGATCAAATGTTTTCACTCCTTTTGGGTTCTTTATGTATGGTTCATCTCTGGTTTGTCCTGTGACCCTGGATTGCTATTTGGTCTGGTCTCTTTCCAAAATGTTTCCATGGCCCTAAATGACAACCATGACATCAGCCCCTAAATTAAGAACTTTAGCTTAAGGCCTGGCACTAAAGTTTGCATGAAACATAAGCCAAAAATCTGAGATAATCTTGTGGTCTAGGATCCAAAGATTTTTATACAAGACAAATAGTCTACACAATCGTTTTCCGGATGTCATAAGTGGGGAAGACTAATTTAGCAGAACAGTAAAAGACTGGGGAGAAAAAACTTTGTGGAGAGAATATATATGGTAAACAATACAACATTTTAGGGAGAAATACTATTATGAGATCAAATTCTTACTGCCGTGGGCGGTTGTTTCAAAAACATTAACATAGTTTTGTATATTATACATGTGCTGTAGGGACTTTTATATTTTAAGAAGTTATATGTGTGGCAACAGATTTAGGTAATCAGTGTGACAGGAGGTAGCTTGGGGAAAACATTTAGTTTGTTATATTGCTTTCAGTGGGAAAATGTACATCACTCTCATTCTAAGCTGAGATAATTTAATGAGATAGTCTATATCATGCTTGGAATGAGTGGCTATTTGATATAAATGAGAGTCCCAAAGTTAATACATTAGATGAAAATAGGTAGGCAATAATTCCATAGGCTGGAAGCCTTGTTGGTGGAAAGGCAAGCCAATGGTGTCATTGCTTATCAAAAAGCCACAGTCAAGAACTGTGGAAGGCCTGTGTGTCTCCCCACCCCATTTCCACTGAGGGATCATTGACGTTGACAAGGAGATATACACATGTTTCTGAATCACAGCCCCTTCCTAAGATTTCCTTCCCCACTGGGCTAAACTGAATCGTCCATAGAGGTTACATAAACACACATATGAATATTTTATATATGCTGAATGATGGTCTCTTGGATGTGAAGGTACAAATAATATGTGTGTGTTATGACATGGGAATCTACCTTATATATGCTGAATGATGGTCTCTTGGATGTGCAGGTACTGTATAAATAATACGTGTGTGTTATACATGGGAATCTACCTTGTACTGAGTTACACCACCAGTCCATCTAGCCTACTAGTACTGCCTATTCTGACTAACAGTAGCTCTCCAGGTTTGCAGGCAGCATTGCTATTTGAAGATGCCTGGTATTCCTTTGGGTCTTTCATGCAAGTCCCACCTAAGTGTGCTCATATAGCAACAGACCACATTAAATACATAGAAAATTCTGACTTATGTTCCATTGTGTACATTGGGATGGACAATGTCTAGAGATCTAGAGGCTGCAAGCTTTCATCCTTGGACCCTTGTTCCATGCTTTGTTTTTAATGAAGGAGTTCACTCTTGCCCTCCAGTGACCTTAAGAAAACCACACACATTATGGGGGCATGGTGTCCCCGGGACTCTGTGTGGCTCAAAAGATGGACAGATTGACCCCATGCCCTCTACAGAGCATAAAGGGACTTTCTGAATGCATGAAATTTTACAATCTAGGGTACTGGGGGTACTTGCAGCCCAGAGTCCTCACCTATTTTGTCCTTGGTGTACACCATCTTAGGGAGAATTACTATTATGAGATCAAATTCCCACTTGTAAGATTTTTTTTCATTCATTTTAGCAGAGAGGCAAGCAGCACTATACAGAACTCATAGTTTCTTTAACATGATAGATTACTAGGTGCAGATAATTATTTAATTATTTAAGTGGGAGAATTCTAGTATGCTTGCTGGAGTGGTAGGATCCACCTTCACTGTGTGATTCTCTAACATAAACGTTCCCCTTGACATTTAGTCCAGTCATGTCTGACTCTAGGACACAGTGCTCATCCCCTTCTCCAAGCCGTAGAGCCAGTGTTTGTCCGTAGACAGTTTCCCTGGTCATGTGGCCAGCTCGACTAGACACAGAATACCGTTACCTTCCCCGCCGAGGTGGTACCTATTTATCTACTTGCATTTTTACATGCTTTCAAACTGCTAGGTTGGGAGGAGCTGGGACAAGTGACGGGAGCTCACTCTGTTGTGTGGATTCGCTCTTATGACTGCTGTTCTTCTTACCTTGCAGCACAGAGGCTTCTGCGGTTTAACCCGCAGTGCCACCATGTCTCTAGCATAGCCAAGACAAAAATATGGGAGAATAAAAAGATAAAACAGGTCTCTTCTCATTCACAATTTGTCAACAAGGGAATTGTCCTATCTGCTCTGTCCATGCTAGTGACAAAGACAGGAAGGTAATTAAAGAAGCCCGCACCAACATTTCTATCAAGATCTTCTGATCTCAGTATAATTTGCCATCAATTCCTTTTCTGACCACACACATTGAAAAGTCCAGAGAGAAGGTGAGGAACAAGAGGTATTACATTGATTTTTCTTGGCATTTTAACCATCAATAGCAGCAACAAAAAATGACATTCACAATTGAAGTAGCAAGGTCATGACAGAGTGTCGGGATCTAGCATCTGAGCCAACTATAATGCGGAGAAAGATTTGTCTGTCGAAATAAGTAGCTGAAAGCATCTTAATAATATAAAGCACAAAATGAATTTTGTTAAGTTTAGTAGTTAAAAGGACCCATCTATTTTGAATGGTTGAGTTTAAAGGTATGGCAGCACTAGCAGTGTGTGTGTGGGGGTAGGCTAGTGTGGACTACCTGGGAATAGTTGGGCTTGATTAGAATAATCTAATCAAACTTGACCATTCACATGAAAACGTCTCTTTCCAGTCTTAAAGGGCCAGTCTAAAAACTTCCTGCAGCTGAAGCCACTGCTGTGGATCTGACTGTTGTGGTTTCTCAATTAATCTTTTAAGGCAAGACAAAGAATTTTTTTTTAATTATTTTCATTACTAATGTAGTGCATCAGCAATAGTCTACACACAATAAAAACAACATTTTTTCACTTCTCCTGCCATCTGCTAAGCAGGGGAAGTAATTAATTTGCCAAAATCCTGACATGGCTTGCTTATTTAACCACTTCACAATATTGGAAAACTGAAAAAGGAAAGCTTGCTTTTGGATAAGCTCCAGCAATCACCCACATTGAGACTAATCCAAACAAAAGTGATCCTACCCACACCGGAAAAGTGGAAGCCCCTTGTCAGGGGACAAAAAGGTGCAGGTAGGAATGGTCTGGGAACAGGCTAGAGATATCACCTGACTGCCTTTTCAAAGAGCACCTCAGCCCATCCCTGCAGTGCTCCAAAGAGTGGGCTGAACACTGGGCAAAATCCTGTTGATATAAATTTACACATACATATCCCAGATCGGGTTTTGGAATAATTACTTTTAAACTAATAGAAAGCTTCCTATCTCCAACTTCCAGGTTCTGAGGATCCCTCAGGCTCCTAGTGCTGAATCCAGGTTACTTTTGTGTAAATTTAAGGAAAAGAATTTTGCCCATTGTCTTACAATTGTGAATCCTAAATCTTCATATACGTAATGAATAGGGACAAATCTGTTAATTCATTCTATTCCTAGTAGTAAAGTGTTTATGATCATCAACTTCACCAGAAAAAATACATTTAATTTAAAACATCATTCATCAAAGCGCTAAAAGAATATAGACTGCAAAAGATACGGGTGTCTGTTATCTCCTTTTTGATGCTTGGGAGTAAAACAAAAAAGATTTACATTAATTATGGACTTTTTCTCAGTAACCTCTGCTTCCATTGTTTTTCCTTAACTGCAGATTGAATCTGAAGATGTTGGAGATGTGTACAAGGTTCGGGTCAGCTGTGATGATGTACCAGACTTTGAGGGCTGGCATTTGAAGTCTTTTGAGATGGAAGAACTCCACACTAATCAAGAGGTGAACTTTGACTCCAGCTGCTGGTTCTCTCTTAGCACAGAACACAGAGAGCTGGTGAAAGAATTCCCTGCAGTGAAAGAGAACCAGAAACCTTTACCAGGTAAAAATAGCAGAGAAGGCAAGAACAACCTGAACTAGCCTTTGAAAAAAAAATCAGTGCAGCTGGTTTTGTTAAATTCCCCATCGCTTCAAAGCTATGGTGCTTCTGAAGCAAGACTTGCCCAGTACTCAAAGCCTCTTAATTAAATAAGAAACGGCATAAAACAATTGCTGTACTCTGTGTAATAGCCAGAGTTATAATTATGCTGGTGGAAGATAAAACACATAATTCAGAATAATAGAACTCATTGGGTAGTTTAAGCAGTGAATGTTTTCACTCACCTGGATTTAAATTGCTTAAGTGATTACCAAGAATGCTTTTCCTGTGTAATAAAGAAAAGAAAGGAATTGCATTATTTCATGTGATGTTTCTGTAATGTTTTATAGTTCAGATGCACTGACTGTACCAACCTTTGACCTTGTGTCCATGAGTGCTGTCAACTGGAAATACAAGGAAAGTGTGTGGAATGTAGTTAAGAAAGCACTGACTAAGTGCTATTGTAAATACAGATATGGCCAATTTATATCTCCTGCTCTAGAAAAAAAAATATACCTCATAATCCTTCTTTGACAGTACTTAAGATCTACAAAAGCGTTAAATTCCTCCCTCATGCCCAACTTGCAAATCCTAGCCTTCCCTAGGATCATTATCCATTCCTCAGACTTTCTTTCTTTTATGCTCCCATCCATTTACCTGGCATTTCTACTTCAGTGACAAAGGTGAGGACAAAAGGTCTTTCTCCTTCCCTGCTCCTGTGAATTGTGTCCTTGATGCACCCAGAGCTTGGAAAGGTAGACCATTTGTAGTAGTACTAGGGAAAACACTTTCCATATCTATTTACACCTGGTGCCATACTCAGACACCATTGTAAATGTGATAGATTCAGTGCAATAGAATCAGTGCTACCTCTTTAGGATTAGAATTTTTTTTTCTTTTGAAGGTCTATTACTTTTGAGTTGTACATGGAAGCCTCCTCCTGAATGACTAAGCCAAGATTCTTTAGCATACTACATAGCAGAAATCTCTACCCAATCACTTACGTGAACTTTTTTGGAGGTGGAAGAAGCTCCAACAGCAGTTGAAACAGCACCATCCTGGTCTGACAAATGTTAGTTAGCTGCAAGTTATCATCCTCCTTCTGCCCAGTCAGTGGCCATCTAAGCCCACAGGGGAAAGTACAGGTGTTGCCGGTTGAACAGAGAGCCAGTCATGCAAAGAGGTATCAGGCACCTCTTTGACTGAGCTTCAGAAAGGGACAAATGCCCATGCAACTGGAAGCTATGGAAGTGCAATGCTGCAGTAGGATCCTGATTGTGGCTAATTATTATGCCTAGAATATTATTATTTTCTTCCCTGTGTCATGTTGTAGTGTGTTGGAATTTTCCCAGTTCAAATGTAAAGAGGTATGAACTGGGATGGGGTGGGTGACCTCATAAGATTCTATGGTTGTCACCCTACATTGGTCAGTTCCTTCTGTATATGTCTGTTGTGGAATATTATGGTTGACTATGATCACATTAACTGTGTGATGGCAGTATTGGCAGTGTCACTGTGGAAGTGACTGCCTATACATTGTTTAATTTGTTACAACTGGTGCTGTCTTACAGATGCTTTGGTATATCATCCACTGGTGTAGCAGAACCAATGGCCAGGCTATGAATAACTTATTTATAGTGTTGCCATGTCTTCAAGAGAGAAAAATAGCACTGAAAAAACATGGGTAGCAGGTGGCAATTTCTAATTATATTGTATTCATTGCCAGACTTTGAAAGTGAACATTTGTGGAGGCTTTGAGCATTTCAAATGACACATGTCCCTTCTTTCAGCTTTATTTTGGCATTCATTTGGTTGAGACCATGAAAAAAGTCAAAGAGCAGGTGCACTTTTATATTAGAGGACAAGGGACACCTGTGTTACAAATAGGTTTTCATTGAAAGTTTCATAGAAAAGTAATTTATCAAAAGTAAAAGTGTAGCAGTCCATACCATCACTGGTCTGTACAATTCTAGAATAAGACATGCATACAGAGAATCCAGATGGATTTTAATACTGTCCTCATCCTTGTACAGATCTACATCAAAGCCAGTCTAACCTTGACATTAGGCAAAATGAAGCAGCTGCCTTAGTCAGCAGATTCCAGGTATCCTGAAAGGGCAGCTATTTGGTACTTATTAGATTAGCACCCAGGATGAAGAGAGTTGCTTGTGGTATTTTGCTGCCCCCATAACTTACCTAGGTTAAGGTATTAGGCACTTTGAATGCAGGGAAGAGTTTACTATTTTAGTGCTCTGCCTCAGGCAGTGACATGTCTTGGGCCAGTCCTGAGCAACATTGCCATTATAAGGATACAAGTAATGGAGAATCAATTGAATGCTCTGTGGTATTCAGATTCATGGACAAGGTAGCTATTCCTGAATCACATGTAACAGTGGCACAGAGAGGTAGTTGAGATACTTCTCATACTGTGTAGAGATAAGAAAATGGAATTCATCGGATATATGTGACTCCAGTCTCAGGCCTTTTCACAAGCAGTATCATGTACGTTGGAAAGAGGATGTTCTAGATGGGAGGAAATTGTGGTTGCAGAATGCATGACACGGTATGTGCATTGTTCATCCAGCTTCTACACACACACACACACACACACACACACACAGAGAGAGAGAGAGAGAGAGAGAGAGAGAGAGAGAGAATTCTAACTTGAAGGAAATAAAAGATGTGCAGCCTTTTCCCTTCCCATTTTGGGTTATCTGTCTTTAACAGTGTCTTTTTGCATATTTTGCTTATTTTCTTCTTTCTGGGTGGAACAGTTTTGCCAGTATTCTGATTGGCATTGGAGCTCCAAGAGAATAAAATACTTGACACCTGTTTTGTTTTTGTTTTGCCTTGTTAGTATCAAAAGAAATAGGTTTTCTTTTTGTCTGCATCTTAATAATTATGTGTTTTAAAGGCAGTATCAGCACTGTTGCCCTACTCTTTTTTCTCTGCAGTGCATAAGTATGTTGTCTCTGTACACACTGGAGCTCTATGGGGAGCAGAAACCTTTGCAAACCTTTATATAACAATTTATGGTGAAAGAGGAGATACAGGTGTCAGGCAACTGCGACACTCCTCCGTTGCGGGAGAAAAATTTCAAAGGAACAAGGTAAAATACAGGGGAAGGCACAATACCATGACATTCACTTCAATACAATGCAATAGAGATGGTTCAAAATGTATTCATAAAGTGGTATGTAAAATGTTAAAAGCCTCATTGTTTGCATCTAAAACCTGGTCCCTATTTTCATTATATACATTGATACAGTCAAAAACATTCCAACAGTATAATAAACATTACACAATTTTGTATCAGAAATAGTTATTGCAGCAGAATGAATATCAAGCAGTAGTTTTGCTTTTGGGGAAGGCTCCTTTCCTTCCTTCTTTCTTTCCTTTTCCTACTTTACTTTCTTCCTTTATGACAGAACTGGATTAGAAAATAGAAATATGTGTTTGGGGACTACAGTTTCCATGCTAACAGTAGGATTCCAGGAGCCCTAGCCCAAACAATAAATACTTCCCTACTCTGGACTGGATGAGCATTCGTGTGTTGATTATGCACTGCATTAGAGTATTGCATTGTCAGTAATACTCATCTTTACATAAGTTTTCTTCATTAAAAATGTTAGTGCTGAATTGGAACATGGAGCTGCAAAACACATAAAAAGGAAAAAGACTGCATGGTGGCCCCTCCTCACATTTATGGTGCTAACACCAGTGTCAGAAACAACAGAGTTTATTGTAGCAGGGAAAGGGGAATCAATCTTGAACAAACCAAACAACAGTTAACCTTTGGGGCTACTTGACTTCACCAGCCCCAGGTCAGACACGAGCCACTAGGGGGCTGCAGTCTATTGTTGTCCTTCACACTGGACACTAGGTGTTTCTGAAACTCAAGGCATGCAGAAATGAAGGCCTGTACATCTGCAACGAGGGCAAGGCGCATGGTGCATCAGTGGCCCTGTGCCGAGCACTGAGATGTCTCCGCCTTCTGCTGATCCTCCTGGAAGTGGCATAAATGAGCCTTCTAGCATTGTTGCCTCCAACACTGCAACTGAGTTGTCATTGGTTCCCGTTCTGTGACATGGGGAGACAAAGGAGGGTTCCAACATGGGTGTTTCCCCTCTCCCGGTAATGAGCTTGAAAGTAGGGTGAGGGCACTGATGTTTGGGTCCCTCATGGATCCTGAGCTCCATCCACTCCCTTGTCCAGGGGTGCTCCTTCATCACCCTCACCCTGGGGGGCTTGGGTGAATTTCACTCAACCTCCTTGGCTTGGAGAGCATTTCTCCATTCTTCTTGAGAATCTCTTCAGGTCTCTTCCTCTATTATTACTTCAGGAGACTCTCCTCTCCTTCTCTTTCAGACTTCTCCCCCACTTCCTCTAATGCCTCTCTTATAACCCCCCCCCCAGTTCCCAATCCTCTCCATCCTCTTTTCTCTCTTGCATAGGGTATTCTGTTGTGGCTGAGCCAGCTGCAGTCCCTGGGGTTTTGGCAAAAAGGTCTGTTTGAGTTCCACCATCCTGGGGTACTGAGGCAGGGCCTGTTGAATACTCTAGGGTTTTTTAGGGGGCAGGAGATTTTCTGTTTGAGTTGCACCATCCTTCAGGATGTGCACAGACTCTGGGGACTACTCCTTTGACTCTTGTGGGCCAGTCCCTTGTCTGTGTCACCATGTTTTACCCATGCCTAGGGCTGCACAACTTCCCCTAAGAGAACAGGCACAGTGCCCTCTTAGGGCCCTGGGCCTGGCTAGACAGCCCACAGAAGGCATTTCTGCCAACCTCCTCACAAACTACAACATTTAAGACCTTTCCTTACCCTGTAGTGTATAATCTGTATCTTGGTTTACCAGTTTTCACACATAGTAAACAACATATGACTGCAGTCAGTGTTTCCTCTTAAAGCAGACACATACACACTTTCACATTATTTACATTCTTTGTTTACATTTTTTCAATTCTCATTTTTATTTTTCGCCCTCTTCCTTCTACAGACAATGATCTCTTCTCATTCCCTATGCTGTTCTATGTCTTTCTCTACAATCTGTATCTTCCTTCCCCTGATTTTTTTTTCCACTTAGCTAGGAAAACTTACTTTTGGAGTAAAGTTACCAGTCAGCATGACTATTGAGTAAAGTTTACTTTCACAATCTTCTATCTATGTTTACAAAAACTGCAATCTTCTAAATGTCTGAAAGTTCTTAACAGTTTGGGACCTTGTTATTTGTTGGAGTGCCTCTCCCCGCAATTCATCTGACCATGCCACATGCTCTACCCAAGTTATGATGCTCTGGGTAACTACATTGAGGGAAGCCCAGGAATTGATGATTAGGAACTGGGCTTTCTTGGTGGTTGCTGCTACATTATGGAATGCTTTGCCAGAGGAGATGTGCCAGACCCCTTCCCTCCTAGCATATAGAAAATCAATAAAGGCATTTTTTTTCAGAGAAGCTTTTCAAAATATTCTCCCTGCATGATAGCTTATTATGTTGTTATATTTTAATTTTTTTTTTCTGAATGCTGTCACTGCTGGGAGAAAGTTTTGTTTGTTTCTTTCCTTTTATTGATGAGAGGTTTGTCTGATGGGGTGAGGGTTATGTTTTTGTTTCCTCTATGTAAGCTGCCCAGAGTAGTAGCATGGCACTAGATGGATGGGATAAGAATCAAATAAACACCCAAACCAACCAACCAAACAAATGCTCATTTGTTAAAGTAGGCTCTCCTGGCGTGTTGTCCTCCAGATGCTTTGTAATACTGTACATACAATTCTCACCAGTATGTATGGCTGATGAAAGAGATGATGTGAGTTGTCATCCACATCAACTGGAAGATACCAGATAAGTAAAAGTTTAAGTACTGGAAATATGATGGAGCTATAAATAATTATTTGTTGAAATTCAAAAAAAGTTCTACATCTTTTACCCCACTATATTTATTAAAATAATTAGAGACTTAATGTGTAGACATAACTTCCACATTTTTCAGATCCTGCTAACAATTTTTGTTTGAAGTGTAGTTATTATTCATTAAACATTACATTATTTTAGCCCCTATAGTTACTCTTCATTGTAAAAACATAAATTTGTTTTAGGTGGATTCCTTTTTAGTGGAGGCTGTCTCTTTAAGCCATTTGAAAAAAATAGTCATAGGACATGATGGAGAAGGATATGGTGCTGGAATATACTTGAAGATGATAACAATTAAAAAGTCAGAAGATTCAGAGGAAGAATGGATCTTTCCATGTTGGAACTGGTTGGATACTCATCTGGGAATCTGTGACACAGTCTGCCAGATTGAAACAATAGGTAGGTTATTCTTTTTTAAAAAAGGAAGTTCATCATTACACAGTGTATTGAGTAGAGATGGGGACAAATATAAAAATGGATCAGTTTTTCTGACGAATATAGCCGATTTGTCATATATTCGTTGATCTGTATTTCGTGGCGCAGTGGTTAAAACGCTGTACTGCAGCTAAAACTGTGCTCACGACCTGGGTAGCCGGCTCAAGGTTGACTCACCCTTCTATCCTTCCGAGGTGGGTAAAATGAGTACCCAGCTTGCTGGGGGGGGGCAATGTGTAGCCTGTATAATTAAATTGTAAACCGCCTGGAGAGTGCTTGTAGCGCTATGGGGCGGTATATAAGTCCAAAAATAAATAAAATAAATAAAATTTTTAAAATAAAATCAGGACGGATATGGCTTGATGAATATTTCCTCAGTTTTATTCATCAATCCGTTCATATTCATCTATATCCATGACCCCTTTTGGGGCCTCTCTGAGGTTGCTGGCGCCAATTCAAAGCTCTGGCCAATCAGGACAGAGATCCTGGATCGGCATGTCCAGCAGCCAATAGTGCTGCTGAAAAGTATATCTTTTACAGGTGCTTCATATAAGCTTTTCCCAAAAATTTATTTTAGGGGAATCATTTTTTTTCCTTTCTCCAAATTGGTTGTGTGTGCGTGTGCATGTCTAGGTGGGAGGATTATTCAGTTTTCAAAAGTTCATTTTAGGGACGCTTCTGTCTCTCAGGGACAAATAAAGATTATACAGTTTACAAAAGTTCATTTTAGGGAGGCTTGTGTCTCTCAGGGGATTTGGTGGGTGGCTGGATCCATCATTCCTTTTTATTCCAAAAGTTATTTGGGTGTCTGTGTGTGTGCGACTGAGACTTAGCTGACAGGGCTTTTCTTTTTGGCCTTTTTTGGCTTCTCTGTCACAGTGGGTCGGGGGGAGCTTTCCTAATTACATTATACGGTGGGGGGCTTGTTTAGGCAGGTAAGTCACATTTTATTAAAAGAATTACACTACCATCATTCTAAAAATAAAATTTACACACACACTCTGACCCTCTATTAGTTTCCTTCCTCAGTCTCCATTGCTTTATTTGTTTAGCTGGTTTGTTAGGCAGGCAGTAGAAATTGAAGGGATTTCTTCAGGGGCAATCCAAAGGGAAGAAGACTGTGAAGCTATGCAGGCTAGGTAGCAGCACCGTCAGCACGACCACCATGTGCACAACCATGTCCAAGATAACCAGTGTCATTGTCCCTCCTCCTGTGGCCTCGCAGGCAGGCATGGAACCAAAGCTTCTAGAGCTGCCAAAAGAACAGCCACTCCTCTTCCTAGAGGAGTTACTGCTTTCAAAGAACTGCCACTCCTCTTCCTAGAGGAGTTACTGGTTTCAAAGGATCCCCAGTCCGATTTGGAACCAGTAACGGCAGGGCAGGCTTCACAGCCCCACTGTCCCCAGAGTCATCCGTTCCCTCCTCCCAGACCAGCAGCACCCCTGGGACACAGAGTTCTTCCCAGGCCAGCAGTCGGGGCAGGCAGGGGGTCCACGTTTAGGCAAACATGGCAGAGGGGCCATGTGGGATCATTTCACGGTGCTCAGTGATGACCCACAGCTGGCACACTGCAATGCCTGTCTTGGGCTGGTCCGGACTGTGTCAGACCCCAGGCATCTGTCCTCCACTGCCCTCCACCAATATCTGGAGAGGCACCACCCAAGGCACCACAGGAGTCCAGGGAAGGCACTTCTTCCATGCCATCTGGGAGAGGGAAAAGAGCAGCTCCAGGGGAGGCAGAAGGAAGGCAAGAGGAGGCACCTCCTTTCAAAAGGGCAATCACAGGGGTTTCTGTGGCCGGTACTTTGCTGCTGCCCATTACTGCAGTGCCCGATGGGGCAACACACTCTGCTTTCAGTCCCATGACAACTCAGTAGGTAGAAGTTGGAACACACTACCCAAATGAATTAGCTCAGCTCACCAGCGGCCCCGTGAATTAACCGCTGTAGTAGCAGCGCGGCCGGGCTCTGCCCCACCCAGAGCCTGTCTGTTCTTCGCCCAAATGTGCCAAGAGGGGCATCTAACCCTCTTGGCTGGCACACCCAGAGCTAGTCCCAGCACCCCCAAACAAGAGGGCTGTCTAGCTGTCTTGGCAGACCCAGACTGAGCTGTAAGAAAAATGAATAAATAGTTGCTCTTGTACAACTAAAGTGTACAAGAGCAAAGTGGTGGGTGACACCCGTAATGTGCCAAGACAGAGGGCTGTTGGCATTACGGCCGTGTTGGCACACCCAAAGCTGGGCTCTGCCCATCCAAGCCTGTCCAGGCATCACCTCATTGCACAGCTTCAGATTGCAGATCTGATCTGGTTTTTCAACCGTGCCAAGAGAGCTGGCTGGTACAAGACCCCCAAAACCTCCGAGGGCTATCTTTGTTGTCAACACACAGTTGGCAATACTTTGCCAACACTTTGTTGGCAACATAGTCTATGTTGCTGCTGCCAACTTCCTCATATGGCGAGCATGACTAGACACGGAACGCCAATGCCATTAGTAGTACCTTCCCAATGAAGTGGAGCAATTTACCTGATGGTGTTATTGTTGCTGCTAATAATTGTTGCTTGCCCCCTTCGTTTTCAAAAACAAACAACACACCTCCAGGGCCACCTTTTGCTAATCCCCAACCAGGCCTGTGCCTGCCCCACCCAAGCCTGTCCAGGCATTATCCCATTGTCCCATCACACAGCTTCAGTTTGTGATCCTGATTGGATTCCAAAAACCCTGCAGCCCTGTGGATTAACCACCGTTAGGTTAACCAATGGGGCCCAAAAGCCTGCTTTCTGGCTGCCAACTACCTCAGTGCTCGGTAGGGCCAAAAGAGCTCGCTTTCCTGCTACCATGTGCCTGAGTGCCCAATAGGGCCAAAAGAGCCTGTTTTCCTGCTCCCAACTTCCTCAGGGCCCGACGGAGCCAAAAAGCCTGCTGTGCTGCCAAATACCTCCTTTCCTCCAATCCTCCTGTCCTGAAGGCAAACTCTACTTCACTGGCAAGTGTAAAGTTGCTGAAGACAAACTGAATGCCTCATGCATACCTTTCAGTGACAAAGAAGACCTCTCATTCTGCTGGGGCCAAAAATATAACTCCCTCAGTTCCGTGGGCTTCTGTGCTGTGTGGTAAACTCTTGTGGGAGGACCCAATTTGTGGGTGAATAACTCGGAGATCTGATAACCAATCTTCACCGAAGTTGGGAGGCGTGTTGGGGAAAGACATGGAAAACTCTGTTGTGATTCTGGATTCTCTAAGTACCTGGGGGGAGGTTTCCTGGAGGGGTCCTCTTTGTGACTATATAACTCAGGTCTTCGTGATCCAATGTTCACCAAACTTTCAGGAGTTGTAGCAAAGCATCTGAGGAAGCTTCCCTGCACATTTGGTGTCTCTAGGTTGTGGGGGGGGGCCAGTGTTATAGCCATTTAAAGTGCAGACAAATTGACAGATTGAGCCATCGATTTGTCTAAGAATATTCATATATTCGTATTCATTGATCCGTTAACCTTGACGAATAACGGATCAAAATGAATTGCCATTTTTTAAAATTTGTCCCCATCTCTAGTCTTGAGCTGTGTTTCCTCCATGGAACATGGCTCCTAGGATGCTTCCCATTTTCTGTATTTTCACAGTTGGATAGCTGAGAGTTGATACTGGATCTAGAGAAAGGGTCTAGTGGCAGCTTGACTTCTCTACTCCTTTTTCCTCTACCTTAGACCTACACCACCCAAAGAGGATGGAGAAACCAGATGAATGGTATGGGTTGTATTGTAGGAGACTATGAGGAAAGTTGCTGATAAAAAAAAAAAGCAAAAGCAATTTCCCACAGCAGGAGTTCCACCAGCAAAAGTTTCTTCTACTCAATTTTCAGAAACGCTCTGCTTCCCTTCTCCATCACTGCACCATTTGGCAGGATTGTCTCAATTCAACAAGAGACTTTTCACAAACTTGGAGGGATGAGGGCATTTTGAATCATGATGTCACCAACAAATGCCAAAACCTTGTGTCTAAGGTTTTGTTGCTGTAAAAAAATTGCCATGATTTTTTTTGCAAAAACAAACCAAAAAACTCTGCTAAATGCAAAAAAAAAAAAATGCAGAAAGCCTCTCCCAATCTCGCTCAGCAGAGAGAAAACATTTAGATTTTTTGCCCTTTCCATCTGCTATAGGGAAGTATGCAGTGATTTACATCCCTATCAAAGACATCATTATTTGGTGATTGATGTTCTGGCATTAGTATTTTATAATACTGAAGCAATTTTATGATACTATGATGGATCTGTGTTTTTTTTAGTCTTTCTATCTTTTGTGTTCTCCACCACTGAAATTTCACAGCCTGCTCAAGGGTGCACATTTATTTCATGGAAAATATTTTTGCTTCTCACTACTGCACATTCACAAGCTGAGTACATAGCCTAAAACATGCTCAACATTTTCCTGTGGCAGTGTGTTGGAAAAGAAGATCAGCAATGGTGCAGAGGCTATTTTGGGGGAAGCTTTCGATGAGTTGTAAGACAATTTTAAAATGATGGGAACATCACATTTGACAGTATTTGATGGTTGGCATGTAAAAGCATTTATTTTAAGACTTGACAGTATCAAACAGCAACAGTACTTTTAAATTCAGAGCCTGAGACAGCATACAAATGATATTAAAATATATGGCAGTATTTAGTGGATAAAAATTAACAGCGATTAGTATTTGACACATTGTAACTTTTGTGTCTTCCTATTTCAAGCATTCCAAAATTCAAGTATCCAAATATTGAAGTAAATATTTTATATTCAAAGTATATTAATGAATTTTAGCAATGTCTCATTCACAAGATAATGATTAAAAAATGCCCTTGATTCTCAATATTCACATGTAATAATCCCTGTTCTGCCAGTCTGTCTATGGTCCAAATTAATTTTATACCTCCTTGTAGATCCTTACTGTCCCACAGAATGTTTTTAAAAAACACAATGCATGAAAATGTGTAAGTTTACATCTTAATTTTTAAAGGTAACAACAACAAAGTAAAAGCTACTTGTTCATTTCCATGGTCAACTATTTCCTGGTTGCTGGAGGCTGTGGGATATACAGTAAATTCAATAAATAAATAAACAAATAAATAAATAAATTTCCTTATACATTAAGCCAGTATGAATAGGATAAATATAATTCATGCTTTGAGATAAATTATATCAAATAATGTTTACAGACAGAACAGACTGTCTTTGTAGATGTGTGTACACATATAAACAAAATAGCCTAAACTGAATAGCAAGCCCTAGCTTAAGCAGATCATCTGAATGAATTGCTGAATGGGTCAAACTGAATCTCACTGCTTCAATTTATTTATTTATTTTTAAAAATTATCCCGCCTTTCTCCTTCAAAAGAAGGACACGATGAGATGTTGCTGGTTATTCTCTCTGTCAAGATCAGAGCATGGGCTTCTGTCCTAAGAGACTCCAAAGATCCCCCAATCAACCCAGGGAATTACAAGATAATCAAAGTCTGAAGCTTAGGGCCACATTGATCAAAAAACCCTTTCTAAAAGTCTATTTTCATATAAAAAGCTACTTATAATCAACCCACATATCATTATATATGCATGCCATAAGAACTGTACAGTTTCTCAATTGGATTTCATTTCCATAAAGTCCATGAGATTCTTTAGATTCGTTTAAAGTGATGACTGGTATCTTATTCAAATAACAATATAAAAAATATACCAATGGAGAAAGCTTCTTATCTTAATGTGGATGTAGATTCTGTAATATAGCCTTGCTGTATATTTTGACAGCAGTTTCAGATCTTCTGCAGTTTATTCAAATCATATTTGTCCCATGTCTGTATAACCCAGCCTAGAATCTGTTGACTGGCTGTCTTTCATGCAGCTGTATAAGAGTCTGAAGCCCTGCCATAGAAGACACATAGAAGACACATACGTGACAGTTATGCACACTATACCATTCTCTACCAATCCTTTTCCCATGGTTGTGGAGTTAATGATAGAAAGGCAGTAAGCAGGCACAGAATTGTGCAGAGAGTTTTTAGCACCGCTGTCTGAAGATCTGACAAACGTCTCTCATTCAGATTTTGCCTTATTATATGTTCACTTGTCAGTAGTACCGCACAGCACGTTCCTATTTATGGCCTAGTTTCAAGTGCATTTCACCAAAGCCATTTGTTATCTCCACCTGTCTTTCACACTGAAGAGTGTTTGCAGAAGATAACAGATCGACTGATTTAGTGGAATTTGGGGGACATTGCTGCCCTCTATAAGAAAAATTAATTAGGACTCTGAAGGATGCTGCCTGTTTGTCAATAATTAACTTTAGTAAAGGCAGGGAAACCAAACTGGCATCAATTAGAAGAGCTCTAAATTTGAGAATTATAGAAAAGGAAGACCATTAGGATGTTAATTCCTAGAGAATAGCTGCAGTAACTGTATTGATGTGATATTAGTGAACTGTTGTCATGGTTATTGCAAACCACACCAACAAAGCAGTGGGCTAAAATTCAGCTAACAGGAAGCAGTTTTAAGTTCTATTGATTTTAGTAATTGTGCAAGTTAACTACATGTATAGCTCTCTCAGTGGAATCTGTGACTTTAAAATTTGTTTATTCTGCCTTTATTTATTCATAGATCGCATCTGACTATGTCAACCTTTTGTTTTTGTCTTTAATCCCTTTAAGGTAAAGTGACCTCTTGTTCAAAACAGCTTGAAATCAAGAAGAAGCCGTCAGGTTTATGGCTAATGGACATCATTGGGTCTGACCTGAATGCTGAAATTGATCCCATACACCTAACTTTCAACTTTTGTGGAGACAAGAATCAGAAAACACTGACATTTCAGCTTTCAGGAAAGGAAACACAAATGAAAGTAATTCAACATTTTGTTTTATTTTTATTGAGAATAAGCAATATTACCTAGACATGTATAAAGCTGTAACCCAGCAAAATTGATTCAGGAAATATATGTGCATGATGGTGATGGTGAGGTTGTGTTTGAAAATGTAAGACAGCCCAGAGATCATTGAGCCTGTTCAATATATTATACAGAATCCTATAACAATTTTTAGGAGATGATATCGAAGAATGACCTCAACAATTAAATATGATTGATGGAAGTATGTTTCCAAACAAATTGAGGATACATTTACATGGAGACCAAATCTTATAACCTGTTCTGTTGGCTACAAATATTTCAATTTTCCATCTAGTCGTCATCCTCCCAGGGATGGCTCCAAGACTAAAAGGGTTTTGGTTAAAGCACTTCCATGAATTTATCTAATCCACTTTTAAAGTCATCCATGTCATCAACCACCACTATAGTTTGTGACACTGAATTGCACAGTTTAACTATGTGTTGTGTGAAGAAGCACTTCCTTTAATCACTCTTGAACCTGCCACAATTCTAGTGGAAATTAAAACAATGCTTAGATGTGCCTGCCCAATACTACTTTGAGTGCTAGGCCAGAAATTCAAATACGCAAGACAACCATTAGTATTGGGCCCAGTTGAAGTGTTGGGCCTGGCAGGTGCCCAGAGATACTGGGTGATAGCATTTATTCTGCTTGCTTCAGCTTCTATATTGACTACAATGGAATTTCTTCTGTAAAAGCACGGTAAGGAAATATGTATTCCTCCAAATTTTTACTACTGTCACTGCTCCCTTACTAACCCTTTGTTACTGTCATTGCAACATGGCCTCTCATTAAACCAGAATAGCAAAGTCCTAAATTTCTAAGCTTCTCAATAGTAGACAACTTCCTGTTAATTTTCCCATTGTAGATTATAACTAGGTCCAAGAATTCCTATTATGTTAGTGCAACTCCCTTCATCTCTAGCCAGCAGACCCACACATGACAAATGCTGGTGTAACACTCACTAGTTCTGTGGGACTATCTATCTATCTATCTATCTATCTATCTATCTATCTATCTATCTATCTATCTATCTATCTATCTATCTATCTATCTATCTATCTATCTATCTATCTATCTATCTATCTATCTATCTATCTCATGATTACTTCAAACACAAACTTTCAAAAATGTACAGTATATACAATATATACTTACATAACAAAACAATAATAGTGATATAGCAATCCAAAGTGGATGTTACAATTTGTACACTTCAAGTTCTTTTCACCAGAACCAGAGCGGGAGTTGGTTATGGAAATAAGGAAGAATGCAAATCTCTCTTTGAAGCCAAAAGAGAACAAAGTCCCCGAAATATTTATTGATTGAGGTGTACAGTATATACAATATATACTTACATAACAAAACAATAATAGTGATATAGCAATCCAAAGTGGATGTTACAATTTGTACACTTCAAGTTCTTTTCACCAGAACCAGAGCGGGAGTTGGTTATGGAAATAAGGAAGAATGCAAATCTCTCTTTGAAGCCAAAAGAGAACAAAGTCCCTGAAATATTTATTGATTGAGGTAGGACATCCACAACATAAAGGAATCAGCTCCGAATATAAGGTCTCTAAAACCCTAAAACAAAATACAAATGCAGATGCAAATACATCACCATATGTATTCACCCTCCAAGGCCCCTCCTGCACAAAGTAATTCTACTACCTAAACCTGTCTAAGGTGATAAGGGCCTTTTTAAAAAAAACTTTTATTGAATTTATACCCCACCCCTCTAGACAAAGTCTACTCATCTTCCAGGGAAACTGTACCTTCTGCCTCTCCAGCTCTCCTGCACTTTCTTATCTGAAATCTTGGATCACAACTCCTTCCTAAGATTTTCCAAACTCACTGAGCTGAAACAAATAATCCATAGAGGTTACACAAGGATGTCACATCTTGCCTCCCATGGTTAAAAAAAAATGAAGACTAGGATTTCACTGGAGAAAACATCTTTTTTTTTTAGAAGAAATCCAGATAAAATGGCTAAATCCAGTGTTTTGCTGGTGGCCATAAATTTTTTTCATCTTTCCCTCCCTGCCAGTTTCTGCCCCACCCCTCCAGAGCCAGTTGGGAGGGCGCATGGGAGACTATAATGTGGAGTGAGATTTCCCCTCCTGATTCCATCATTCCAGTCATCAAATCCACAATTAAATCCCAAAGATTGTTTAATGGTTTTTATGCAGAGTAGAACTGGGTATGTTTGGCTTTTACTGTGTATATTGAGCAGAGAGAGGCTATAGCAAACCCCAGTCTTTTATGCATATACCCATGATACTCATTTTTCAAAACATGTGTTTCTGGCACTCACACTTTGCATTTCTAAGTTAATATGTTACATGCATAACAAAAAAAACATAAAATATTCCGTTCTCTAGAAATTTCCAAAGAAATAACCATTTTCTAGAGAACCAACTGATACTGAATTCTCATTAGATCAGTATAATTCTCTCAAACATATGAATATTACTCCGTATAGAAGAAATTCACCAGGACTTCAGCATTTATTTAAATATCTGTTGTGCTAATCATTTATTCAAAACCTATTTGTACTTGTGAGAAAATTCTGACTTGTAAAACTGTCATATTGTTTTGGTGGCTGAAATTGTTAAGACATTAACTCTATCTGACAGGCAAATTATGTTATACAGCTAAAAAGGGAGAGAGAGCGAAAGCAAGAGAGTGCTTTGACAGTTTTCCCCCTTGCGCAGGACAAGCTGACAAACATTGGATCCCTTTACAAGATTCGGGTATCTGGTCCATATGGACAACTTAAAGAGCCCTGGCATTTGGTGGTGTTGCATATGAAACATACGGGCACCAATGAAGAGATGTGGCTAAATTTTGACTGTTGGTTCAAACCCAATGAAGAGAAGTGTATTGAACTGCCAGCAGTCTGTTCCAATCAGGATCCTCTGCCTGGTAAGATAAATCTGCTTTTTAAAAATAGAGGCAAAATACTTTGTATGTTCCCACACAGCTAATGTTGATTGTGTACGTTTTCAAGGGATTGGCTTTGACTAAAGGTGTGCATATCTGCCTGGAGAATTCTGGGAACTGTAGTTCAAAAATACAAATCTTCAAACCTCTAGTTTTGACCTTAGACTGCAGAGTTCAGTGTTTTGCCCTTACCAGCACCACTCTCCCAAAGTAGTCAGTTGTATGGAAATAACAGCCTGATCCTATGTGCATTCACTTAGAAACGATTCACATTGCAAGTATGCTCATGTAATGCTACTATCCTTTCCATGCTTTCTAAAATGTCATTTCTACTGACTATTGGGGTTTCCATTAAGGCATATTTTACTGGGATGTGCGTGTGTGTGTGTCATGCCATGCACTTTAATTCTGTCTGGATTACTTGTGTTGCAAATCACAACTCATTTGCTTTATGCTGATTTATGGCCATCCTGTTTGTTATGTATCCAAAATTTTTGAAGTATTTGTTTAAGCAGCAGGAAAACATGAAAATGAGGGAGTTAAAATACTCTTAGCTGGGATGGGGAGGTGAAACTCAGTGCCATCAACTACTGCTCAACCTCTAATGTGTGACTAAAGCTTTTTAGTTTTCTTCATTCCTTCTTCCCCCATTACCAGGAGCCATGCTATTTATATAGATTAAGTGGCATTCTTAATGTTACTGTGATCTACCCCACTCAAATCCCTGATTTACTTCATTTTCCAAATAGTTTATGAATCTGAAGCATATGCCTATTATTTAGGATTTACATGGGATTGTGTAAAAAGTTGGCAGGATCCGCAGAGTCCTTGCAACAATAGCAAAACTAGAAAAGAGTTTTGAGGCACCTTAAAAACTAACAAGTTGGATTTGGCATAAGGTTTAGTGAACTGCAAACGTACGCCCAATAAAATGTGCAAACTGAAAAGAAAGAACCACGGCAACTTGTTGTGGGGAATAATTAGCAAGACTTGACATGATACATTGGGAACACAATGGGCTACAACTTTATTCTGTCTGTAGCTGCAGGCTTCATTAGCCTGAGCATAGGGAACACAATTAGCTGATATGTTTGCCAGCCAATTACTCTCCTTATCCCCATGAGGGGGCACGGAGGAGTGTGGGATGACAGGACCATGAGCAGGAGCCACTATGTAACCCCTCATTTTTCCTTGTGGTGAAGTGAGTGCCACAGCTCCTGAGTTAAGAGTGCAACTGTTGCATTCACCATTTTGAGCACTTCCCACTAGGGGAAATATGCAGATACACTGGCCCTCCCATTTTCCCACTGAATCCATCTCCTTGCTGACCTGCCACCAGAGCCAGATGGAAATCCAGTCACCTCCTGCCACAGCCACTACAACTGCAACCATTCCACAGGGTTGTTGCTCACATTGCTTAACCACATATCCTGACTCTAGTTCAACAGGTGCATCCCATTTAGCTAAAAAAAAAAATGGCACTATCATGAAGGACAACTCAAGGTACAATATGCCTCCCCCAAGTCTGACACTTATCCAGTGCGGGAAAATGGTAGCCCACCACTCCCCGCAGCTGCAAACCAATTTGAAAGTGAGCCCTTCAGCTCACACTTCTTAATCTTTAAGCTGTCACAAGACTGTTGCTGTTCCTAATATGACTGTCCCAAATTCTTGAACTTACACGCACTCACCCAAAGGGAGGAATCTTTGTGCATTTCCATTGCCAGTGCATCCTCAATAGCCACAGCCCACATCATTCTCCATGGGACTTTCTCATACAAGAGTAGCTTTTGGGTGGGCGCAGAATGGGCTGCTGCACACCTAATTAGAAGAGTAAAATTTTCCTAGAAATCCTCAGACTCTGCTCTGCATCAAATAATTTTTCTATTTGGACAATTAAAGTAAGTTATAATAACAATTCTGATAGTTCTTACAATAGATCATTTAATAGATTGTATTACATTAACTACATTTAAGGGGAGTTTTGAGTTTAGTTTTTCTCAGGAAAGATGCAGTTGCAAATGGGAGCAGCATATTTTTTTGCTAAGGCACTTAATTTTTTTCTCCTTGTTTACTTTTGTAAAACTGCTTGCAGCTTGAGTAACAGGGGGTAGAATAGAGATAGTGAAACTGTTAAAAATGGTGGGCTATCTTGCACACCTCTGCTTAAATAGGAGAGTCACATAATTTATTGGACCTAGATGAGAAAAAAGGGTGAAATAATTCTTCACATTCTTTTAAGCTGTGCTTAGTGGAAAGGCAGCACAGCTTAAAAGAATCACCACAATATTTCACCTATTATTCTTTTGCAAAGTAATGGCATTTAAGAAAAGCAAACTATAGTTGACAAAATTTTATATATACACATTTTTAGACTTTTTAAATAAATGTAATCTAAAATATATTTTATAATCATCATTGTTAGCAATACTGTATATGTAGACAAAACTTTTCTTAATTATCACATTCATCTACATTTCAGTTTCAATGTAAATTTGACCTTTAAAATTCTCACTTTAATGTTGTGTTTTTAGTACATCAGATTTATTAGAAGAGCGAATTCATGAAATACCATAATATTTGTATCCTTGCCTTTTTGTTATATAGCACTCAATCTGAAAGGCAAATGTTTTAAGAAGGAAAAGTGTTTGCATTAAACATTTCTGACCCCCTGCTTTTAATTTATATATGAGGGGAAAACATTTTACATTATTTTAAAATGTTTCTTAATCCCTTCTCATAATTGTACAGCACTGTCTGTGAGGGTTCAAGCTTTACCTTCTCGGTGTTTAACTCAGACTCTGGAGACAAGTCTGTTGTAAAAACATGACTAGTTTTTATTGGAACATTTAACAATAAATCTTGCTGTGCAACCTTAGTTTCTATCTTTTCTCTCATCGCCAACAGGTCTAGCAAGGGCATCCAAACATCTTTAACAAAGGGGTTGTTAATCAACTCATCCCAGGGTCCCCTCAAAAATGGGTTACTGTCCTCAAAGTCATGGACCATACTCTCAGGGTCTAATAGCAGGATGGTCTCGTCATCTCAGTTCTCCGCCCCATAGGCATCCTCCTCTCCTCGTAGAAGGGTCCAGGGTCCAGTAAGTGGCCCTTCTTCCCAACTTCTTCTAAACGCCATGTCACATTCCCGCTCCTCTCAGGATACAGCTTCCCTTTCTTCCTTGAGGCGGCTGCACCACTCCCGGGCCTCAGACTCCCTCCAATACGATGGACGTTGTGGCAGACCCCTTTCTCTCTGGTAGTCTGCCTTCTCCTGAGGAACCCTTACTGTTTCCCATTTACCGGTCCATGGGTCTTCCACCCATATCATCTCCCAACCCCCCCCCAGTATCGGGTCACCATGTCCTTTTATATCCCCCATTCCCACCTCCACAGCGGACCTCCCTTTTTTCTCTCTTCCTCGCTGATTCACTTTCCGTTTGTGTGGCCACTGTTGTTTTCAAAAGTTCTTGCTCCAACTCCCCGCTGTTTAGTCTTGATGGGCGGTGTAGGCGGGTTTGTCTGTACCTCCTGTTCCATTTTAAGGGAAGACAACACTCTAGCGAGGGCCTTTATACTCTTGCCCCCAGTCTCACAAAGTCCCAATGATATTTATTCAGAAGTAACTTTTACTGAGTTCATCACGAGCAGCTTCTATTAAGGGTGTCCTGGGAGAACATCTTATTGAAATCTATGGGCTAACTTCTGAACAGAAATTACATGATCTGAGTGTTTAACTGCAAACTTACAGTGCAGGGTTGGGGAACAGTTCCCCGCTTCAAATGTTGCTGAACTCAAATTCCCACATATCCTAATCAGAGGAGCCAGTATCTAAATGGCTGGAGATGCCTCATTTTAGCTCAGTCATATGCCGGTCTACTTGTAAAGTAGTAGTAGACAGTAAAGTGGAGTACGTGTCCTCACTTTAATGGGGCTTATGACTAGGTAAGAGTAAGGCTGCAACCTAAAATTTCCACACTATTTGCCCTGTATTTTGTCATGCATCTAAATGCTTCAAACTGGTTTCCTTTTCAATTGCTTTTCAATGGATGTATTATTAAATGCACCCTGCTGTAAAAAAATGCTGGAAAAAAATACAGCAGGTGATACAATGTGGAATAAAGGACTTGTTTATTCTTGCTATCCCAACCCTGGAATAATGATGCGAGACAAAGATATGGATTAAATATGGGCCACTTTATTGATAACATCAAGATATGATAATGGCAATTCTTTGCCAAAAGAGGGGGCCTGCTGTAGTGTGGAAACAGGTGAAAGGCAGGGTTATGCAGACACCCCTTAATCAATAAATGGGCGAGTCCCTGGCCCCAAGTTCCCGTGGTCTCCAGACAGCAGGAACCCAGCCAGCCGCTAATAAAACACCCCCAGACCTCAAGCCATCTTTCGCTGATGACTGTTGGTCCAGAAGTGGCCCAGGGCATCCTCCCGCCACAGACACTGTAATCGCACAATCTGTAGTGCTGGGGAGTGGGATGCGCTGTTGGCTTAACAGAGATTACAATTGGGACACACCGAAAAGACTTGTTATTTCTGCACTACCCGCCTGTGTGACCAAAATTAAACCACCAAAATGTCAACAACCCTTATCCAGTTTGGGATAGACAAAAAATCCCCCCATCCATAAGCCAATCAGGATGAAGGTGAAAAATTGCTATCTGGCCCCTGAAAGGCAACCAGACAAACTCACACTAGAAAAAAGGTAGGGCGGGTGGGAGCCCGAAAAATGAAAAAGGCAGTGCAAGGGGGAAAGCCCTTTAAGTACCCAGGGCTTTCTTGCCTCTCGCACAACATCTCGTGAGACTTAAATGCAGTCTCGCTCTATCCCGGGTGGATAGCAAGGGTCGATTGCTTCAGCCAAAGGTGATGCCTTGCCAGCAGTCGCAGCATTTACTTTGTTGGGGCACAAAACTAGACCCTCACGGCTTCCTGCAGTCTGCCAGCAATGAATACATCAAGAGAAGG